CGATGAACAGTTAGGATACGATGATCCTTATAATCCCCACCATTGAGATTTGGATGGGTTCCAAATCCAAAAAAGAAGAACAAGTAATGTAAAATGGATGAACCTGGATGAGTATGGAGGCTAGATTCGAATAAATTACTGAGGACTTGGGCAATCCATATAGATTATTGTGTTAGTTTATTTGTTTGCATATGGATTCCGTGATTATGATTATTTATCGTATATTGTGCAGTTAAAAATTATTTTAAAATTTAAAATTTAAAATTAAATATAAATAGTAACTAACAAAAACTAATCGCACAATATACGATAAACGATCACGATTTCAATATACCTAAGATCCTTATAAAAAAAATCCGGCGTGGATCCTTTTCCCTATTTCACAATGATTGTCAATTTTGGATGCGCTTCTGATGTATGGATATGTTTCTGATGTATGGATGTGTGGTTTCCAGATCAAGAAAGTACTCGTCATATGCTATTACAAGCAAGAAAATTTCAACAGTTTTTGACGCGCAGAGTTTCAGTTTGGTGATTAGTTCATGGAATGGAAAGTAGAAATTGAACGGTAATAAGAATTAGGTAATTTTCTATAAAAACAAGTCTATTTGAATAATGTGAAGGACATCAAACAAATATTTCATTTTCGATTCGAACTGATAAATGATATGATATTATTTGAATACTTGTTCATTCATATGAATTATAAATTAAAAGCTAGTTTATTCCTGATGGATAAATGCTATCACGTTACTTATAGACATTTTTTGTACTGAAAATTTTGAAGCAAAGATGAATAATGAAAATCGATCCGGTTCTATCTCGCAAGCCATCATCCAATCATCTCCTTTGTATGTGATATGTTGTATTTATGTTACTTTCTTAATTGCCATGCCTATAACCAAATTTATCGTTATGCGATATTCATAATTTTTTGTTTTGAAGTAATCTGCAACTTGCAGGAAGGTGGAGTACTACTACCACGCTAGCAGGATATTCAAGTACCAACAGAATTTTCTTCGAATTCTTTTGATAAGGATCTTGAGAATTCATGAATTGTGTCCGTTCATCGTATATCATGCGATCAATTTTTATCAAGTATTGTTTATGTTTATTTTTAAATAAAAATATTTAAAATAATTTATGACCGCATGATATACGATAAACGAATACAATTCACAGATCTTTGGAATTCTCACAAAGAGAATCTGACGACGATCCGGACTCATTCAAGTATATCTTTGTTTGATACCACAAATTTGCTATATGCCAAGATCACAGCTCAAACAAAAGAAACCGATGATGAATATAATTAGATCCTAGTGGACGACTTAGCTAGTCTCTAAAGCATATTTAGATTGCAAAAATAAACATCTCAAATATGATTTTTGGATCATGCGATAATTGAATATTTCAAATAAACTTGTATCAGCAAGTTGGAATCCATTTGATAATCCTTTGTCAACTTTCTATTATAAAAATAAAATATTATTTAATACTATGATATAGTAGTATTTCTCTTTACTTGTAAGTGAGAGGATCTCAAATTTGATTTTTGCTAAAAATGAATTTGAACTACATTATTACTAGCTCATTATGAGACCAAGCCATCCCCTTCTCCGTAGAAGACATTGTTTCTTAAAAAATAATAAAAAAAATAAAAGAGGCAAAAAGATATGAGAAATTTGTGACAGATACGAGGAAAAACAAGATAACTTTATAGATAAAATGGGTAGATCCTGCTGAGCGAAGTTGTGTTGTTTTTTTTTTATTGTTGGTTTTATTTGATTCTAGTGTTGATGTGTTGGTATTTTGGAATCGAGTTATTATTGTGAGCATCACGATTCTCTCATAATCTGTTTTGTAATAATTTAAGAAACTCAGTAAGACTTATTAGGCCTCGTTACATGCGAGTTTGGTGTCTCGCTTTAGGCAAGTTTGATCGTCTCATCACATATATGCGAGTTTGGTCGTTTTGAAGCTGTTTTGTTAGTTCTTCGCCTCGAGTACGTATTGGAGATGATATGTTTTTCCTTAATGTTCAGATAGAAGTATGACATGTTTTCTTCTCCCGTAATTAATTTTTGAAATTTTTTATCTCTAACATGATCTGGCATCACTGATGAATGATTTCAATAAATACTCATCTCCTTCATCATTTTCATGCAACATTTACAATTATTGATTTTTATTATTAATGAGTAATGTTATTCATATCATGTTTTTGTATCACATTTCATACTATCTTAGGTGATATTTGATGTGGATAACCATATCATTTGAATTAATCAGATTTTTAAATTTTGTTTATTATTCAATAAACTAATAATTAAGAAAAAATAGTTAATTAAATGATGATTGTGGTATACGAGGAGTCTTTCTCCTTCATTTCCTTGGGTTTTACAAATTTTTCAAATGATGTGGCTGTCCATATCAAATGCCACTTAAGTTGGTATATAAATATGATATAAAAATATAGTATGAATATCATTACTTATTATTAATTAGATCATTGTTTGAAAGTATGCTCTTGAAATAATAGTCTTTATTTGTATATTGAAGAAAATTTTCATTGTAGCTGAAACACGGATGATATATCACGTATTTTTATATAAGTGGTGAAATTTTTTATTTTTTAAGTTATTAACTTTTTAACATACATATTGCATTAGTGACATGGAGTATACCGCTCTGTTTTCTAATTCTAGTGAAAAATCTCTTTGTATATTGGGGCATAGAAACATTTTCCCTTCTATCCTGCTGGGACCCTATTTGGAATGAGGATCCTTTCCGGATCCTCTTGGTGGGAATCCTGAGAATTCTCACATCGTGTCTGTTCATCGGGCATTGTATGGTCAGAAATCATTTTAAATACTTTTATTTATAATTAAATATGAATAGTATCTGACAAAAATTAATCGTACGATGTACGATGAATATATACGATTTGAGAATTCTCAAGATCCTCATAAAAAGAATCTGATCCCACTCCCCTATTTGCATTCAATTTCTCTTTCTCAAAATCATTTCTACTTTGCTCTCCACTTAACGGCTCTCACTGTGATTGACACCCACACATCTTTTTCTAAGGAAAAGGAATATTTTCTTAGGGATATTAGGAATTTCGTGATCGTGATCCTCATCGTGCAGTTAAAAATCATTTCAAAATTTAAAATTTAAAATTAAATATAAATAGTACTTAACGAAAACTAACTGCACGATACACAATAAACGATCGATCACGATCGCATGATTCCCAAGAAAATGATCCAACCTTTTCTTTTTCTAATATCCGTTTCTCTATGGTCTCAAACATAAAAAGACAGAACTTGATTACTGAAAAAATTGCGGCAGGAGCCGTTGCAGACAAATCATAAATAAATACGTGTCCAAATAATTAATTTTTTAATTATAAATTGAACACATATCCATCTATGATTTGTCAATAACAGAAGTTTCTGCTGATTTTTCAGCAACAAGTTCCGTTCGACATAAAAAGCAAACAAGGTTATCATCAAAGAGAGGTGCTAGTTGTTGCAAGTAATAAATAAAATAAATTATCATAAAGACCTGTAAGCGGTGACACGAAAAAGAGGATGTTGACATGTCCTTGACATTTTGGACCTATCGTGCATTTTTAAACCATTTTTGGTGCTGAGTTAGCTCGACCGCCAATTCATGTCGGTTTATAGGAAAGCCATGCAAGCATGAGGAGAGGCATCTGAAATAAAGATTCGCATCGAGGGATTCCTAAATTTTATATTTTTAAAGGCAGTTTAATTTTAAGATTGTTGTAACCTTTTGTTATTGTTGTTGTTGTTTGATTATAGTATATTCAAAGATGTTTAATTTCTTTAAGGGGAAAAATGAGATCATATTCACCAGAAAGAAACAAAATTGAACAGTTGAAGAAATGACTTCTCTAGTTAAAATTTTAATTCCACATTCTCTTGCGTTCAAATTTCTAAATTCCCAAGTGTAGTCAGATCTATTTGAAAATGTTTTTAAAGTAATTGAAAGTATTTTCATATTACCAAAAACACTTATAATTATGTTTGATTGAAAATTTTTAATTAAAAAGTGCACTCGAAAGCTTTGTACAAGTATTGTTTTAAAATAAATCCACTTTTATCGTCGCTTTCGTCTCGCCTAAATGCTTGGCAGCTGATTATCGTCTAAATTAATCCCTAGGCGTTTAAAATTAAGAACGGTCTAGGCGCCTACCTAGTCCGTCTAAACCTACCAAGATCGCGACTCTCACTTAGACACTTTTATTTTGTATTTTATTTTTTCTATAAATTGTAAGAAACTTGTTGAATACTTAGGTGAACACACATTATATGCTTGTTACCTATGTTTTATTATGTTCTAATACTTTATAATCTATATGTCATTATATTTGGCAAGTTATTTATCCCAAGGCAATCTATATTTTTTTAGTATAAGTAAGCACTTATTACATGACGTATTATAAATATACTTAAATTTACCTAGTTCATCTAGACTTCTGCCTATTCACCTAAGCATTATGTTCCAGTTTATGACCTGACTAGCGTCTAACTTTTTTTTAGAGAGCAGTTCACTACTTTTCCACAAATCTTTTAAAAAATTTTGTTTTTAATAAAAATTTCTAATGAAAACATTTTAGCCTAAGCGCTAGAAGCATAAAGAAGTATTCGAGCCTTTTTCAAAAACACTTATGCGTAATGGTTTTGTCCATTTCAACTACTCAGTTTAAAGAAACGCTTGTACAGAAACACTTTACCAGTATGAACTTTTCAGACCTCAGAGGATCTGTTTTATCGATATTATTTTCCTATGGAAATAAAAAAAGCATCATGCTATTATAGAATATGCTCACCACCACACACACCCCAACCAGTGTACCAAGTTTATTCTTTTACTCCAACAAACAGACACATACACTTCTGAGTACATTAGGCTAAAAACTAGGCACACCACATGTTTAGCGTTGCCCTATTTTACATAATTACATTTTGACCTAAAAAGGGAAGACTTCGGAGGTACTTTAGGCTTCTATATAACTTACAAGTCATCGCTTCCTCTTTAATATGTTGCCTTCTGTTGTGTTATTCACTTCATAAGTATTGCCGCCTCTCTGTCTCTCCTCCCTCTCTCCCTCTCTTAAAACCACCCTCATCAGCTCTGTCAATTGCAAAACAACCAACAAAACAGAACTCAGCTGCCACTCAGGGGCGTCCAGAGAGAATGCCGCTCTCTTATTGTGTGGCGGAGAATAAACCCTGTGTGCGTTGGGTTCAGAAATATTTCAAGGACTGCCTTTGCAACCTAAGCGATGACATCTCGTTTGCTCTGGGTCTGATCAGCTTAGTGTGTTGGGGTGTGGCTGAAATTCCTCAAATCATCACAAACTTTCACACCAAGTCCAGCCACGGTGTTTCCCTCGCCTTCCTCTGCACCTGGGTTGCCGGGTTAGTTTTCTGACCCTCGATTAGACTAAGAAGTCCAGTAATATTTGTCTTCTCAGCTCTCGAATATTCTCCTTCGTCCCTGAATAGAAAAAAAGGGTTTAAAGTTGTAATGATATTGAAAGGTAATTAATTAATTTATTATTTTTTGGGTTTCATGCAGGGATGTCTTTAATTTGTTGGGTTGTTTTCTGGAACCGGCAACGGTGAGTTAACCCAGTCAATATTGCTTGTCTTTTTCATTGCCGAGAAATTTTTCATTGTGAAGGGTAAACGGGTGGTAAACCACATATTTTTATATAAATTGTGAAAAATTTTATTTTGTAAGTTATTAACTTTTTAATTCATATATCCCACTATTTGTATAGAGACATGTGATGTACCATTTCCTGTGCCGGTTACTGAAAAATCTCTCCTCTTTGCCATAGTTATGTTGTTTGTTAGTCTGGTGGTCCAGAAAACCATCAGCAGGTGATTGGCTCTGGTTAAAACCACCATCTTTATTTTCATGTATGAGGGATCTCCACCATATATTGTCAGAATTTTTTTTTTTTTTTTTTTTTTTTTGTAGCTTTGGCAAATTTCTAGTGTTAAATATTTTAATGATAGCTATTTTTTTCATGCAGTTGCCGACCCAGTTGTACACAGCTCTGGTAATTTTGCACCTTCAAAAACTTTGTATTACGTTTCTAAATATAATTTAAAAAAAAATATTAAACTGTGTTATGCTTCCATATATCTTTGCTTCTAATTGCAGTTGTAGGAAGAAATGGTAAGCACTACAATGCACGATAATTTAGGCCCATGTCCGAATATATAGGAAGACTTGGTTTTTTGAATCTAAAATTTGTTCAAATTATTCCCATCAATTTAGGTGTAAACTAGGATCCCATCAATTTAGGGGAGTCACTAGGCACTAAGTAGGGTCCATTAATTTTTTTAATTTTGTGAGTAATAAATTTAATTTGTAAAGAAAGTGCTGAATTACTTTGTTAGTTATGATTTTTCAATCTAACCCACTACGTTTTAAACTCATTCTAGCTTAAATTAGTATACCGTTTTTTAAGCTTTAATTTATCATATGTAACATTTTCTTTTGTTTTTCTTTAATTAATAGCTCTACACAGCAAGTACCGTAGTCTTAGTATTGCAGAGTGTGTATTATGACTACATCTATGCATGGTGGAAATGCCAAAATTTCAAAGCCAGACAGAAGGTACAACATTTTCATTTCAATTTTGGTTTTTGGCCTCTCAATCTATCAAATATTTTTTGAATAATTGTTATTAACTGAAGCTGGCTGGATAATACGAGGGTCTAATGATCAATTAATTAACATGTAATTAGGATGAAGAAGAGAATATAAAACCATTGAATCCTAAGTTGGCTGATTTAGGCATTCCAATACCAACTGCTTCACCCAAAGCCACTCCTAAAAGGGAGTTCTACTACACGTATGTAACCTCCTCCTACAACTTCTACATATATATGTTCCATTTTTAGGATGTATCTTCTTAACTTGATTGATAAAACGAGTTTCTTGTCACATACTTATCACAGGTCAGCAAGATCAATGGCTGGCAGTGGAACTCCGCCGTTTCGAACGTATATGAGAGCAGCTAGAAGTGGTCCTTCTGCAATGATAATGGACAGTGACTCGTCTTCTGAGGACGAGTCAGCTCTGGTTACATCCAACAAGAACTCTGTTACCCACCCTAGGCCAATCCCAAGATCCGTGAGCCTCGAAAATCTAATTTCCTACTTATGATCATTTAGTAAATTGCCTAAATTGTGCATGTTTAATAATGAATTGTTATGTTTATATATCACATCAATTAGTAACGAGGATTTGGGAGAATATTAGGCGTATATTTGTAGTTCTGTTGTCTTAAAAACTTTACATAATTAATTAACAAGTGTTTTGTTCTACTATATCATTTTGATTTAATCACCACTTTGTGTAAAATAATTCCAGGTTGGTTACGGAACATTTCTAGCAACATCATTTAACTTGCCTTCACAAACAAAGGGTTTGGCACAAGTATACCTGGGAGTTACTGGGAGGAAACTCTTGCAGGTATGATTGGTTGTCATGCAAACCATATCTATTAATACCGCTGATGCAAAAAGAAAAAAAACATGATCAATGGTCTAGATTCACAGGGTTATGTTGTCCAACAATCTGAGAAAATAACATTTTTCCTCCAAAATAGTCATTAGCTGATACTAGTGTCTGTACAGGAACACTCAGTTGAGCATAGTGCCTTGGGTCAATGGCTGGGCTGGCTAATGGCTGGTATATACATGGGTGGTCGACTCCCTCAGATTTGGTTAAATGTACGTATATATATTTTACTAATTAACTTAAGAGTTGTCCTTAGCCGTTGAATTAAATAGGAATAGCTAAAGTATATCCTCTTAATTACTATACTTTATTCATCCATATCTCTGTCACTATCAAAACGTTTATTTTACCTTATTTATCTCGATTTTATTTTGGACGTTCCTAACTTAATCGCGGTGTGATTTACATTGGCCAGATTAAAAGAGGAAGTGTGGAGGTAATCCTTTACTCTTTGATTCCTTTCTATTATATTCAATTAAATATGATCATGTATATAGGCGAACAGTTTAAAACTATTGGTTATGTATATACAGGGCTTGAATCCTCTAATGTTCGTCTTTGCACTGATCGCAAATGTCACTTATGTGGGAAGGTTAGTTTACAATGTCTCTACTACACTATCTTCCTATCTCTACTTTCTCATGCTTCTTAATTAATTTTTTGAATATTCCAAAATTTGCAGCATACTTGTAAGAACCACCGAGTGGGATAACATTAAGGCCAACATGTCATGGTTGCTCGATGCTGCAGTTTGCGTAGTACTTGACTTATTTGTATCCTTTGCTAGTCCTCCTGCATATATATATATATATATATGTATATATATATATATATATATATATATATATATATATATCTTTTAAAATAAGTGAAACGTGAGAGGTGTGATCGGTAAACATGATACAAATAACCCATATTAAAATAGTCCTAACATTGCATTAAGTAATTACTATACTTACTAGATTTACAGATTACTTTGTTCACATATCTTTAACAAAGTGAAACGTGAGAAATATGATTAAAAATGTGATCAATAATATGATCGGTAACTATAAGTACCTATACTTATGATTTTATTGATATGCCTTAACAAGCATAACAGATAATTTTGCAGTTCATCTACTATAAATACTGGAGGAAAGGGACTGCAAGAGGTGAAGAAGACTACATGTACCAAGGAAGCAAATAATGGTGTAGCTTCTTGAAAGCACATTTGCATGCATGTATGCTGAAATCAAATCCAAATCTAGAGCACCATAATTAATCTTTCCATCTCCCTATTATCGCTAGGGTTTGTTGTTTTTGGCATTAAATCAACATGCCTAACTAAAACAACAATCAAACAAGGATTAGGACATCGTGGACGCAAGATATTTGGATTTGTGTTTCCTAGTTGGTTTGGGATTTGGTTTTAGTATAGGATTTGGTTTCCTATATTCTAGGGACTTTGTGTAAACCTATGACATCTATTAGTATAAATAGATGGATGTGGGATAGAGTTTTGTGTGAGAGTTTTTTAGAGGCATAAATTTGTATACTTGAGAACACTTTGTGTTTGTGAGTTCTCTTGTACTTGTTGGTAATCAATAAAGTCTATGTTATTAGAGAAGTACTCCTATATTGGAGGAACTTTGAAATCGTTGTGTTTTGTTTATTGCTTGATTGGTTTTGGTTTAGTTTACAACAAGTGGTCTTACACTACTACAATATAGGCTATCACCGGCGGACCAAAAACCGACAAGAAACCCTGATTTCTGTCGGAAATTTGGCAAAAATCCGACATAAAACACTGCAATGTCGGATTGGAATAGCGACGCCATTGCTACCGTCACTAAAGGGCTTCAGCGTCGCTTTGTTCGCTTAATCCGCCACTACGCAGCGTCGGTTTAAAGCGACGCTGATGTTAACGTCGGTTTAAAGCGACGCTAGTCAACAATTAACTAAATAAAATATGCAAACTAGTGACGGTTTAAAGCGACGTTAGAGAACAATTAAATAAATAAAATATGCAAACTAGTGACGATTTAAAGCGACACCACCTTTGATAATAATAATTAAAAAAAAAGTCGAAATCTGTTTCTGTATTCGTTCTCAAATAATTATAACTCAAAAAAATTATATAATCGAAATAATAAATTTCAATTTTAGGCCAAAACAAACAATAATAAAAATAATTCAAAAGAAAAATAGTGCCATAATATACAAATGTTTTACATCTAACATTCCATATAATTTACAAAAATTCATCCTCCATGCTTTCCTGTGCTTGCCTTTGTCGAAGACCACATATTTTGTAGCTCCATAGTGCCATATATAATACTAGCAACTCCATGCTGCCATGCTTGCCATCAGATCAGTGCTCCAATACTTTACTACTTCAACATTAAGGCTCTAATCTCTATAGATTAAACTCAGGTTTTATACCTTTAAAAAATTATGGATCTGCGATTTCCAGTGTCCTTGCTCTTCAGATCCAACATGCATAAATACAAAAAAAACAATTAAAAACCAAGAAACAAAAATAAATTTTCAATTTAAGCATAAAACTATTTAGAATACAAAATAGAAACTAAAATTAATAATCATAATAATTTAAAAATGAACCACCTTCAAGCTCTTCCTCCTCGAATTGGAGTTCTTCAGAATGTTGATCTTCAAACTGGTGATCCAAAGCAAACGGGGAAGGAGTTGAGGAAAAAATGAAAAGGAGGAAGAAGGGGACGCACAGATGAAATGGGGAAGGAGAAGAAGAAAGTCTGAAATTGGGGGAGAAATGAAAGCACGGTTGAAATGGGAAAGAGAGGGGTTTAAATATGGGTACTTAGTTTGCGTCCGTTAAAACCGACGCAAACGTCTGACACTTTTTTTGAAATTCACATAGCGTCACTTTAATGAAACTCGCGTCGCTTTAATGAAACTAGCGTCGCTTTAAACCGACACAAACTTCTGACACTTTTTGAAATTCACATAGCGTCGCTTTAATGAAACTTGCGTCGCTTTAATGAAACTAGTGTCGCTTTTAACCGACGCCAACTTCTGACACACTTTTTGAAATTCACATAGCGTCACTTTAATGACACTAGCGTCGGTTAAAACCGACACTAAGTCTCTCCATCCATTCAAACAAGCGGGAAATTTCCCGCCTAATATTTCAAATACTATAATTTTATATATATTAATTTTATAACCCTAAAAAATACTATAATAATTATATATATTAATGTAACAATTTTATACCCCTAAAAGCTATAATAATTATATATATATATATTAAATTATATTTTAAAAATTGGTGACCGTTGGATCAGTTTCAATATACATACCATTCAATTTCTTTAAGTGTTATACATACAAAATAAATAAATTTAAATCTACTTAATAAATATATATATATACACACACCATTGAACTTGATGGGATACAAATTCTATGGAACTTTTCGATGGTTATAAAACGAAAAACTAATTTAAATCAATATGTCGCTAAAAGCGACACTGGGTTTCAAAATATTTAAAAAAACTAATTTAAATTGAAGATCGAATTCATTCATTCTATTCATATAGGGTCAAGGAATGTAGCTGTAAAAAATCATCAAAATCAGAGTTAAAATAACCGTTAAATCGTGATTTTTCGTTTATAACCGTCGAAAAGCTTTGTCCCGTTACTTGATCTCTGAATGTTTGTTTTTTGTGATTTTTTGCTGATGTGATCTTGAAGCATATGCAAACAAGTTTGACGGTTGGGATCGTTGAAATTAGTTTCGGAGAATTCGTATCCCATCAAAACAATAGATTGACTAACACTTAGAGTTTATTTATACTTTCATTAAGTATAACATAAGATTTTGTGGTATCTACTTGTGTAAATATTTTAATTTGAAGATCGAATTCATTCATTGTATTCATATAGGGTCAAGGAGTGTAGCTGTAAAAAATCATCAAAATCGGAGTTAAAATAACCGTTAAATCGTGATTTTTCGTTTATAACCGTCAAAAAGCTTTGTCCCGTTACTTGATCTCTGAATGTTTGTTTTTTGTGATTTTTTGCTGACGTGATCTCGAAGCATATGCAAACAAGTTTGACGGTTGGGATCGTTGAAATTAGTTTCGGAGAATTCGTATCCCATCAAAACAATAGATTGACTAACACTTAGAGTTTATTTATACTTTCATTAAGTATAACATAAGATTTTGTGGTATCCACTTGTGTAAATATTTTAAATTGAAGATCGAATTCATTCATTCTATTCATATAGGGTCAATGAATGTAGCTGTAAAAAATCATCAAAATCGGAGTTAAAATAACCGTTAAATCGTGATTTTTCGTTTATAACCGTCGAAAAGCTTTGTCCCGTTACTTGATCTCTGAATGTTTGTTTTTTGTGATTTTTTGCTGATGTGATCTTGAAGCATATGCAAACAAGTTTGACGGTTGGGATCGTTGAAATTAGTTTCGGAGAATTCGTATCTCATCAAAACAATAGATTGACTAATACTTAGAGTTTATTTATACTTTCATTAAGTATAACATAAGATTTTGTGGTATCTACTTGTGTAAATATTTTAATTTGAAGATCGAATTCATTCATTGTATTCATATAGGGTCAAGGAGTTTAGCTGTAAAAAATCATCAAAATCGGAGTTAAAATAACCGTTAAATCGTGATTTTTCGTTTATAACCGTCGAAAAGCTTTGTCTCGTTACTTGATCTCTGAATGTTTGTTTTTTGTGATTTTTTGCTGACGTGATCTCGAAGCATATGCAAACAAGTTTGACGGTTGGGATCGTTGAAATTAGTTTCGGAGAATTCGTATCCCATCAAAACAATAGATTGACTAACACTTAGAGTTTATTTATACTTTCATTAAGTATAACATAAGATTTTATGGTATCCACTTGTGTAAATATTTTAAATTGAAGATCGAATTCATTCATTCTATTCATATAGGGTCAAGGAATGTAGCTGTAAAAAATCATCAAAATCGGAGTTAAAATAACCGTTAAATCGTGATTTTTCGTTTATAACCGTCGAAAAGCTTTGTCCCGTTACTTGATCTCTGAATGTTTGTTTTTTGTGATTTTTTGCTGATGTGATCTCGAAGCATATGCAAACAAGTTTGACGGTTGGGATCGTTGAAATTAGTTTCCGAGAATTTGTATCCCATCAAAACAATAGATTGACTAACACTTAGAGTTTATTTATACTTTCATTAAATATAACATAAGATTTTGTGGTATCCACTTGTGTAAATATTTTAATTTGAAGATCGAATCCATTCATTGTATTCATATAAGGTCAGGAGTGTAGCTGTAAAAAATCATCAAAATCGGAGTTAAAATAACCGTTAAATCGTGATTTTTCGTTTATAACTGTCGAAATTAGTTTCATAGAATTCGTATCCAATCAAGTTCAATGGTGTGTGTGTGTATATATATATTAAGTAGATTTAAATTTATTTATTTTGTATGTATAACACTTAAGAAATTGAATCGTATGTATATTTAAGCCAATCCAATGATCACCAATTTTTTAAAATTTAATTTAATATATATATATATATATATATATATATATAATTATTATAGTTTTTAGGGATATAAAATTTAATTTAATATATATATATATATACACACTTTATGTCGCTTAAAAGCGACACTAGTATTTAAAAATTATTAAAATAATGTTTACGTCGGTTTAAAAGCGATTCTAGTATTTAAAAATTATTAAAATATATGTTTACGTCGGTTTAAAAGCGACATAAACATTTAATAACGCTTATAAGCGACAGTAAATCCGACGTCATGTTCAGTTAGTGTCGCAACTGCCTAATCCGCTACTATATTAGATTAAAGCGACACCACCCTCCGACACTATAGCCCCCTTTTGTAGTATTGTTACGTGGGTTGTAACTATCAAGCAATGACGAAAACTAGTGATTCTACCAGTGGTGATGATGTTGAAGAAAAGTCTGGCACTAGTGGAACCAAGACGACAGTTCAGAGTGCTGGCTTTGAAATTGAGAAATTTGATGGAACGAACAACTTTGATTTGTGGAATGTGAGGTTCGAGATGTCCTAATACAACAAGGTTTGGTTGTTGCGTTACGAGACATGTCGTTTTCGTTGAAAAAAGAAGAATGAGAAAGATTGAATGCTCATGCATGTTCTACAATTTGGCTATGCTTGGGAAAGCAACAGAAGTATAGTGTGATGAACATAACTTCTGCGAAGGAATTGTGGGCTGCATTAGAGACAAATTATATGAAGAAGAGTCCAGAGAATTGACTACATCTCAAGAGCAAGTTGTACAGGTTCTAGTACAAAGCAGGCACGAAGATGATTGGCCATCTAGAAGAGTTTAACAAACTTCTAGCTGAACTGGAAAATCTTGAAGAGATAATCAAAGATGAAGATAAGGCCTTGATCCTAATGAACTCATTGCCTGAATCTTATGAGTCTTTCGTGACTACTTGGATTTATGGCAGAGAGACAATTAAGTATGATGAAATCTTAAGTGCTCTTATGAATCATGAGGTGAGACACCTTGACAGGCAAGAAAGGAATAACTCTGAAACTTTGATGGTGAGAGGGAGATCGAAAGAAAAAAAAGGTTTGTACAGGAAAAATACTAGGTCTTG